CGCGGCCCCTCCTCATGCGTGCAGCAGGCGAGGCGCACAGGGCCGTCGTCATGAGCGTGTCGGTGGGTGTGCGAGTGGAGCAGTTGGGCGGGGAAACACACGGCACCCCTCACCAGGAAGAGTGCAGAAGAAACAATTAAAAGAGGGAAGAGTAGAAAAGAAAAGCGTCAATAGTGATTGCCCAAAAAGCAAAAAATAGAAGATGGTGATTAAAAATAAGAATTAAAAATTTAAGCAAATTAAACCATTAAAAATGAAAAAAAAAAACGTTCATATTGGTTGCCCCAAGGCAACAAGCAAAAAAGGGGGAGAAAAAAAACGGAAACACAAAAAAAAAGAATTGCGGAGAGTAATTCATTACCGGATGTGCGTCGGTGTGGGGAAGGGCGCAATTGTCCCACACCAAGGCCGCACACTCCTCACGCAGCCGCAAGGCCCCACAGTCCCAGCAGAAGAAGCAGCGGCAGCAGTCCGCTCTCACGCATAGTACCAGCAACGCTGTTATCCCACTGCGACGAATTTAAAAGGCTGCTGCTGAGTGTCGCCGCCTCTGCTTCCTTGACCTGTGGATGGAGCCCATCTTGTCCCTTGCCTTCAGCGTTATGTGCTGCTGCATTTGTTGCGTCGGGGTTGCCCACAGAGAATTGGGTTGGTTGATCTGCCTGCATCATATCTCCACCTTCCGTCCCCACCGTTTTTGCATCATCAGATGAGGAAGCACCAACATCAGTAATGGCGGCGCTTGAAGATGTGGCAGATGCCGGCTGGTCTGCAGTTCCCTCCTCTGCTGAGGATGTCGCGGCATTGGGCTCCGCTGGTTTCGGCTCTTCTGATTCCGACTCCGCTGATTTCGGCTCTTCTGATTCCGACACCGCTGGTTTCGGCTCTTCTGATTCCGACACCGCTGGTGTGGATGGAGCGCCACCGCTCGCACCACTGCTCGCACCACTGCTCGCGCTCAAAGTTGCTTGGTCCGTCTGCTGTGGTCCGGCAGCAACAGGCGATGGCACAGTTGGCTGCGTATTTGTGGCAACCGTATCGCTGGCAGATTCAACGGACGAAGAGGTAGCTGCCGCCGCCGGCACCGGCTTCCTTTCCGGAGGTGGAATGGTGACTTTACTCGCGTTGAGGGCACCAATCTCAGTTTCATTCAACGGGCGGTTGTACAGAAAGACGTTCGCCACCGTCGCATGGATTTTTCTGCTGCTCAACTGCTCATCGTACGCGCCAAAGTAAAAGTGTGAGATCTCGTCCAGCTCTTCATTGAACGAATTTCTCAGCCTCAAATTCCAAAGGAGAGTCCCGTCAACGTACACGGAGCCCACACCGTCATGCATTTTGAGCACCACGTGATACGTCTTGTCCAGCTCCCATTTGGTTAAATACCTTAGGTACGACCCGTGCACCACGCTCCACTCCATATTATTATCGTACGACAGTCCCAGGAGTGTTGTCTTCCCCATTTTCTCCAGGCCCATCAGGGGAGTGATGCCCTTCGGCACCTCGTGGATCGACACCGTTGCCGCAAGAGTGAACCCATAGTTTGCAAAGTGGAGCGGTATGTTCGGCCACTGCTTGTCCACAGGCCACTCGGCCCCCGCGCCCTGCCCTTCGAACGTCAACCCACTGGGAACCTTTTTCTTCGCACCCCTCACAACGGCATTCACCCCAAGGTACTCGTCCTCCCACTTGTCCCCACGGAGCCTATCGGCCAAATGGCCCACAAGCCCAGCCGTGGGGATAGAAACAGAACAGTCCCATCTTGACAGTGCGGCGTTCGCGGCAATTGAGCTGCATTGTCTCAAGGCAATGTCATTTGCGGCCCAAGTATCCAGCGCATGCCTTATCCAGTAAAGCTCGGACGTCAGATCCAGGAAGAAGGTTCCAGAGTCGCTTCCAACACCGGCCTCGTACAAACAATACAGTTTATTATCCGCGTACAACAGGGAGCTGGAGGTCGCGCCATACCCAGTGGGTAGCAGGCCAACGTGGTAAATGCGGTTCGTGTCCGTTAGCCACAGGTGAATCTCGCTCTTTCGGTTGTCCCCGGAATATTCCAGCTGGGTGAGGAGGATCACCTTCTTTCCGCCAATGGTTGCAGTGATGAATCCACTCTGAATGTGGAGCCCAAGACCTGCCAATGAGTTGCTCCACACGCGCGAGAGCGTCCCCAGAGCCTCCTTCCACGTGTTCCCCTTGTCAGTCGACTCGTACACCCTTCTGCGGCCGTACTCACATGAGGTGATCATGATGATTTTACCAGCCTCCCATTCAAGGATACTGGGGTTGGTGCAGCCCGCATGTGTCGCGCTTTTCGCAAAGGTCCAGCGCTGTTGAGTGAAATTCCAGTAAATGATTGTGGACGCGGTTTTCCCTCCAAATTCCAGAAACTGCACGGGAAACACGAGCGTGTTATCCGTCATTTTCGTGATGGGAGTACTGGCATCGTTGAGGAAGCCAATCATGTCACCGGGTTGATAGGGATAAGGAAGGCGAAAGCTCATAGAGACGGAATTCATCGACAAACCTCCGCTTTGTCCAGGCCCCGTCTCCATAAAATGTATAACAGACTCCACACCACTTCCTCCCCACCAATTGGCATAATGAGGTCTGACTCCCTTCCGTAAGTCGTAGCCCTCCACAAATGCAAAAAGCGATCCGAAGGGTCCAAAAGACGACGGAAGCGACATCCGGTGAGGGTGTACAGAAAAAGCGTCAAGATCTTCGGGTCTCGGGTACGAACTCCAATTCACCCCACGATTCAAGCTGAGCTGCGCCGTCAACTGCATGGACGCACTTCCGCTCCCCACAGTTCTATTGAACTGAGCTCCAGCAATGGCCAGCAGCATCCCGTCCACATTCACAAGATGGGGATTGCGGAAAATGTGGCCAGGGACCGGTGGGTTTGCGGCCTGATGCCCCCTTGGCAACAGCCCCGAACCTTGTCCTCCATAGGGATTTCCCACTCCCGTTCCAAAGCTTTGGGCCTGCACAGACCCCGCGGCGCCGCACATCATCACGACGAGGAGGAGTAGCGGCACCGCGGAATCAAACACACGCCGGGACATGTTGGGCCTCTGCGGCTCACTCTCTCCTCCTTCCCTCCTCCTTCCGCTGGATCCGGTCACGCGGCGACGGTTGTGTGTGCGGGGTGCCTTGACAGCAGCAACACGTGAGAGCATGTAAATATGTGTGTGGGCGGTGTGTGTGTGCTGTTTTTGGTCCTTTCAAAGCCTTCGAATTTCACAGTAGCGATTCACGCTTGTAGTAACTTCCTTCCTAGCTTGTATCTTTGTGTATGTGTGTGTGTGTGTGTGTGTGTGTGTGCGAGGAATTAAATTAAAAAACAAGCGCCCAAACAGGACGTGGGAGAAGAGTGGTTGGCGTCACGCATCCACAGTACAACACATCAGTGTCTTCGTAACCACTGCAGTCATTATTCTCACCTTCCAAGACGACTCAAGCACTGTGAGACCGCACACAGAAGCAGAAACGCTTAATTTCACGCACGGGGCAAGACGCTCTCCGGAAAACGGCACCAACCAACAGAAAGTAGGAGCGAACGGAATCCCAAGTGCTGCAAAAAAAGAAAACAACAACAACTTCATTCTCCACGGCCGTGTACAGAAGGCGACAATGCGAGATATAAACATGAAGATGCACACGCGTCTCTGATATTCGTAAATATGACCACCTGAGGTTCCAAGTGCTTCTGGCGGAGTCTTGCCCACTTTTTGTGCTGCCGTACGACAACGAAGCCTCACCATCCCGCAAAGGAAAGTCAGGCTGTGCAATAGCAACAGCCGCAGGCGTGGCAGAGACAACAGCCGCGGCTACTGAAAAGTGAGTGGATGGATCCGCCGTTGCATTCACTGTTCCAGACACCGACAGGAGACAAAGAAGAACTCGCACCATCAGTCCGTGCCTTCTGCTTCCGTTGCCCACGCAAAGCAAGTGGAACACAAGAGTCATGCGAACAAAAACAACAACTACACATACAACACCAGCGAACTTGTCAGAAAATCGCTCCTTTTTTACTTTTTCTATATGTTGCCTGGATGCTCTTCCTGTCAGACTTTTAGCGTCCGTCAGGTTCCCCATCTGTTGTGTCATTTGGCAAGCCCGTTTCTCATACTTCGTGTTCGTAGCGACAAATCAGACAGTCATGTGATCAACAGTCACTCCGTTCCTGTTGATGTCACTCGCTTATGCTCATGGCAACAGACACTTCTCCTGGGCTCATCATGCCTCTCTCAATTCAGGAGGTCATTGGCAACACGGGAAAGCATGCGCCTCGCCACCCCCCCCATCCCCCTCAAGCACAAATGCCGGTGGCCGCGCCGAGAAATCCGTGTTGACCCGGTCGTTTTGCTCTCTCCGTTACTTGCAATGTGCTTATTCATGATTAACGGACTGTCCACGCCGGGTTTGCGCCAGCAGGGTAGGGTCAGAAGGAGTCTCATGCACCGAGTCCCCCAGCCATGATGCCTGTCAACCATCACCAAAATTTTTAAAAAAAGTGAAAAAACTATGGTTTTTTGGGCCTCTCCAACGCCCTTGGGACCCCCAGTCATGTTGATTGCTGCAGGAATATACGAAAAGGAATCCCCAGCAAAGAAAACTCCGCGACTACAGGTGCCGTCCCTCCTCATATTTCACAAATAACGGGTGCAAACAACATTGATCCAACCCACGCCCTGCACGTGCATTGTGCACTTCAGCACAGCAGTCAATGTTCCCAAGCAAAAGCCCCAATCTAGAAATGAATTCCGCACGACACACCAGAAAGAAAGCCGCCATCCGTGAAAGCTTCCGGCGTGGCCAATTCCATCTCTTCCCATCGCCAATGGAGGGAATAAATTGCTGTTGGCCACGGCAAAGCGGAGTAACAGTGCGGCAACAAGGAACAGCAACAGCGACAGGGAACCCCCACCGGGGCAGTGGAGAATGAAGCAGAAACGCCATCCTCTTTGTCCCCTTGTCCCACATCGCAGCACCGCATTTCCTTCACCAGACTCACAGGGCATCGATACCATCATTAGTATGCCATTCATAATCTGGGTGTGTGTGGCTAAAATCATCGTCCTGCATCAGCGTCAGGTGAAGACCGCAATAGCGAAATTCCTCCTCATGTGGGTGCCACGGGGCATCGATAGGGTGTTCGTTTGCCCCCGGCGCTTTTGATGTCCATGGTATCAAAAAAGAAAAAAAAAGAAAAGGCGCGGCACACAACTTGAAAACAAAAGAAAAATCAAAGCCAGAAAAGATAGCCTCGGGGGTATTGGGCAGTCTACTCAAGTGAGGCCCACATCTCAGTTGACTCCCATAACACGCCACGCCACCTTCTGCCCGTCTTCCCCCTTGACGTACCAACTGCCGTCATCGTCATGTCGTCTTTCGGATTCATCACGCGAAAAATGTCAGTTACGTTGCCTGTACTTTTTATTCGCGCACCCTGCATGGCGGGAGGTGTCCTTGTCTGCCGAATCTGCCAGCATGAGCCCATTATTCCACGGTGAAATTTCTGCTGTATTTGCTTGTCAAAGGGAGAATGGTGAGATGATTACGCTTAGACAGGTACACAAATTGAAATCATTCAGTCTCTCCCCTAGGCCGGTTTCTTCTTCGACGACAGCCGTGGTGCCGCTGCGGCAAACAAAGCACTCTTGTTGACTGGGTTGGGCACAGTGAGTTCCAGAGCCAAGGCACGCGTCACATCACTCCAAGAACGTCGTCCCGCAGTCGGCAGAACCGACGCAGCATTTTCTCCCACCTGAAGCGTGTATAAGGAAAGAAGATCAGTCGAGCGAATTTCACCAAAGTTTGCCGCACCTGTCGCTGGTGCTGGTGACAAATCAAGCGATGGCGGCGTCGCCCTGGTGCCCTCAAACATTTTGTTTGTCAAATCGTCGCAGTACGCTCGCCACACAGGCGTCCCCTCCTCCACTACAGTCTGCAGCACTGTGTGCACCAACTCAGCGATAATGTTCTCCATCACGTGTGTGCCGAGCACATTCAACACGAGCTGCTCTGCCGCCGCCCGTGTGGCCACGCTGTGTGATCGATCCTGCCGTGAGTACATCTGCAATTCGCCAAGGCAGCTGAAAATAATAACAGTTTTTTCCTCTTGGCGGAGACGCAGCGTCTCCTCCGCGGCATCGTCACATTCCCGTGCGATGTCACTCTCCCCATTTTTTCGATTCTCACTCGGCCCCTCCACGGCATCACCCGTCGCAGAGTCGTTTAAAAGCGTCCGCCGCATATCAAGTTCGTCAAAAAGGCGGGCAAGACGTCGTTTCGATAGAATGTACTGTACGACGCTGCTTAGCTCCACCGCCTCCAGGCGTGGCATAAGACGCGCGACACGATCCACGGTCTCTTGCTTAGCGTAGCTTTCGCCCACCATCATGAGGTTGACAAAGGCATCCTTCGTGACAACAACCGACCTAACCCCGTCGCCGTCCACAGAAATCTTTGGGATGGAGTGGCGCAATATCCCCTGCTCATGCAGATGACGTATCGTAGATGCCAGCCGGCCACGGCGACGATCTTCCTTTTTGTGTGTCACCTCGTCAATATACCCAAAGTCCAGGCGGATGTGTTTCCACAGCTGCTGCATCATCGCATCGTGCCGCTCAGGAGCAACGTAGGTTCTGCAAATAGCGTTGCGGGCAATATGCGAAGCACCGGCAACGTGCTTCCCCCACGAGTCATACTCCACGTCGCACAGAAGACAAGTGGCTCCTCGCATCGCTGTCGTAAGCACCACAGCGAAGTGAACGCTCACTCCATGCGCGGAGACGCGTCGCATGGCAACTGATTGTGCAGCACGCTCCACCCTCTGTGAGCGACGTAAACAATTTTTCTTAGAAAATTTTTAAAAGAAAAACCTCAAGCAAAGGCAAAAGATGTCGTCCTCTTCCCCTTCTTCGCGCCTCCTTTGCCTCCCTCTCTCTCTGGGTCTCGTTGCCTCCTATTTTGGGATCCTTCGCAGAACGAGGAGCGAAAAATGAGAAAAGATAAAGAAAGGGCAAACATAAAAACAAAAACAAAAAGGACTTTTCTGCAAAAAAACAAAAGGCCGCAGTTCCGTCGGGCGCGAACGACCCACGCCAAACCGCGGTCGTACACAAGACGTCTTTTTGTGTCGGCGAACCAAACAAAAATAAATAATAAAAAAAGTAGCAGCCCGACGAGACCACCAATGACAGAACGATGCGACAGAAAAACTAAATAGCGAGAACGCAGCCCGTCATTTCGCCTGCCAGGCATCCACCTCGGTTATGCACAGCCCAAAAATAAAACGGACAGAGTCGCACCTGCACAGACAAAAAAACAGAGACATTTTGTCGCAATTTTTCTCCTACTCCGTCTCTTGTGTGCGCTCTGCCTTCTCTCCCTCCGTCCCCTTCCCCCCTTATTGTCCTCATTACGCCTTGAGAGAAGTCTTGAAGTGGTTCTTAATTCTGCGGTTCACCTCCTTCAGGTAGCGGCAGCGGCCTGTGCCAGTGCGACGGCGTTTGATGGCCTTGACGGACCAATTGTAACGGCGACGGCTCGCGCGTGGGTAGGCGCAGGCCGCACAGCGCTCCCACTGAACGTGGTATGCGTTGCGGCCGCAGCGGCGGCAGAGGATGTGAGTGCGCCCATGGCGCTGGCCCATCGACGTGGTACCCTTCGTCATCTTCGAGTCTGGCCTATTAGAAAGAAAGAAGTAGGACGGCAAGAATACAAAAAAAAACCCTCTAAGAATGCAAGAACATACACATACACACACCACGCTGTGCTTTTTATACACAACGCAAAGAAATCCATTCCGTCTTTTTTTCTTCTCTTTGCACCCTTGTTTATTCCTTCGTTTTGAAAAGAAAGGAAGGCTGCAACGCCCTCCTAACCCACACAAACCCAGCGATTTGCGGGCCTAGGCGGCACTACCACTCCATCATCCGCGTCCTTATCCTCATTTCCCTCTTCTTCTTGCGCCTCCTGACTAATAGCCTTCTCTCTTTCCTCCTCCTCCGCGCAGGATTTGGTGTCTTCTTGAGGTGTGACGGGAATGTGCCATGTGAGGGGCTTCAACTCTTGTATGCACTGCGCATACGACTCGGGCATCACCCAATGCAGAAGCGTGCGGCCATCCTCCCGAGAGCACTTGAACGCGATGCGATGCCGATCCCGCCAGCGAGCGAAGAAACGAGGGCTAAGCAGCTTGAAGTGATGATCTCGCATGAGATCGTTGGTTAGCACCCAGACTGTCTTTTCAACCAGACTGCCGGCGGCGGTGGTGTCCGTCGGTGTGGTAAGTTCCAAAGCTGCGTACAGCCAGCAGAGATCATCGTTGAGGCCGCTCGGGGTGCAGTACAGAATCCCCTCGCGTCGCCACTTGGCGACGATCACTTTTTTTTCTTCTGTCATGTTCTTCGGCTCACAGTGTCTTTCGTGCAGGAGGATCAACGGCCGCATACCACGACGTTGTGCCTCCTGCACCGCAAGATCGATAAGGTGGAAGTTCACGGTAACATCCACAGGACCATGTTTCGTCCACTTCACATCTTTCGGCTTGATCCCCTCCGCCCTCTTGCCGCGCGCCAGCAACAGTGCCCGCTTCGCTTCCTCGTACCAGCTGCTCAGGCCGTAGTAACCCAAGTTAGCCCCGTCAATCAGCACGTCGATACGTTGCCCGTGGGTTGAGATAAACCGTCGCCATGCCTCAAAGGCCACCTTCACACGTGTGGGGTTGCCTCGTGGTGCCATCATCACAACGTTCATCACATCACTGAGAAGCCTTTCCTTCTGTGCTGCGGTGAAGCGATGGCCTCTGAGCACACACCCGCAAAAGGAGCAAGTGCCGGGCTCTCGGGTGGCGTCGTCGTGTGGGAATTGCACCTCTGCCATGCGAATTCCCGCCGCTTGCGTCCACGGACAAATCACATCCGTCACCATCGCCTCCGGCACGGTCAGCACATGCTCCTGCATCTCCCGCAGCATGAAATGCAGTGTAGACACCGGCTCACCAACTGCCACGCAGAGCCGACCCAGTTCAACGTATTCCGCTGCACGCAATTCAATACCCTGCCTCAATGCCTCTTCGTAAACGGCAAACGCCATGCGACGATCCCCACGCCCACACCAGAAGGCCAAAAACACTGAAACGCTGCGAAGACGCAGAAGCTTTTTAGAAACCATGAATGAAAACATTTGCGTCGCAGCAGGGACGTCGCCCACGGCACACTGAAGACGAAGTATAACGGCAAGAACGCTTTCATCTGTCCATGATTCCACCATCTGTGATGCCTGCACTTTTCGCACCAGTTCAATGCCGATACTCTCCTTGTGTCTTTTCTCACAGAGGAACAGGGCACTCGCAAATGCCTTCATCGAAAAGACTGAGTTCTCCAGACCAACACAAACTTCTTGTGCCACCTCATCAACATGACCCTTGCCGACAAGCTGCCCCACTCTGCGCTGCAATTCCTCGGCTGGTGAGGAACTCTTCCGCCGCACAAGTTGGGAGGATGTCGGGTGGCCAAAAGTGAGGCTGGAGAGAGCAACAAGGTTCGAGCCGCGCTTCATCCAATCATGAGCCCTCACAACCTCCTCCTTCCCCCTTTCTTCCCAAGGCAGAGGGGAGAAGAAAAAAAAACGGCAAAAAAACACACTAAAAAGCAACGGATGTGAGCATACGTTTATGATAAGAGAAGGCGCGAAGGGAATAAACCAACACACACGTACATATGTATATATATATATATATATGGCCTTTCAAACGCGTGTAGCTTTGGCCTGCGCCGCTCTTCATATTGGAAACACAAACACGCAAAAAAGGAAACGTATTCTCTCTTGTTGTTGTTGTTGTTTTGTTTTATTATTATTATTATTATTATTATTATTATTGGAAAAAAGGCGATCCAAATGAAGTTGGGAAAGAGAACCAAAAATATTAACGGAATAAAAGGAAGAAATGAGGTATACATGCAAATAGATGCATATTCACATATGCATACACAACCTAGGCCTCAGGGAGGAGAGTAAAAAAAAAAAAAGACAAAGAGAGAGAGAAAGAGAGAAGTAGCCAAGAAGAGTCTCATCTCGACAGGCTTCGAAGTTTTCCTGAGAGAAACACCACGACAAGCTGCATCGCCCAAAGCACCAGAAACAGGAACAAAACCCACATGACAAAGCAAAACAGGGCCATATTCCCATTACGCACAATAAGAAACCTACAATCACCATCAAGGGTGTAATATTGATAAATGAACAGTGAAATCTGCAGCGGAGTCAACGGCAACAAAGCCCACATCAAACGGAAGACGCTTTCGCGACTTAGCAGAAGCAGAAAGAATAAAACTAACATAATTACGATGGAGGCTCCCGCCATCGCCATCGTCGTGATGGACGTTGTCTTGCAATCCGCCACACTTATCGACCCCAGTACCAAAAAAGAAACGTTCAACTCAAACAGGAAAAGGCACAAAACATGTATCATACGCACAAACGCCGAATACTTCTCTATAATTCGTTCCCTCTGATATCCAAAACAGGCAAAACCAAAGCAATTGATAGAGTCATACATTGCAAGGGCTCGAAGCATACGCAATATGGACACCAAAAATGTAAGAATGGCCGACGCCGTCAGGAGCCTAAAGAAGTGCTGCTTCGGAGTCGGGAGAAGTTTCTTATTGTCGACAACCACAATCGATTGATAAATAAATTGTGGCATCGCTACGCAAAGGGCAAAACAAAGACTAGATAAAACCTGAGCAGCAACAATATCGTGTAGAATGACAACATACTTTCCACACCGATTGGCCTTTCGGTACCGCACATACGTGAAGATACTAACCAAGTTGTACAGCGGTACCACCGGCACCACGAGAAGGTGCGGAGAGGGAAAGGCACAAATCATCTTGCCATACACAGCGTTCCTTGCCTTTCCACGCATCAAAAATATCATGCCAATAAGGTGCGCTGCGTATCCGATACCATACACAAGGGCTGTGTAGTATCCAAATACACCTTCAAACCTCTCATCATTAAGAGTGACCCATTCTATCAAGGCAAGAATAATGCCGGTGATGCAAAAAATCTCCAAAACCGTGCTTAAAATCATAGTGAAAAAATCAAAGTAACAGGTCGAGTGAACATAATTTAAACGAATAGAATTGAGTCGACCGGGTGGTAAAACATGTGGGTACTCGCACAAGAGTTTCAAAAACTCAAATCCACTATCCTTCATAACCGCATAACGCTCTGGGCTAAGACGTACAAAATTCAGTTTCAGCAGTGACGGAAGGTATTCATAGAAGCTCAGTGAAACTCTACCAGCTTCAGAGGAAATAACAGTGTCTACACAACGCTGAATCTCCGAATGCACAGTTTTGTCCTCAAGATCAAGACATCTGGAATCAATAATCATACGGACAAGGTATGGGTTAAGCCGTGCCTTCTTCAGTTCATCGCCTGTCACGGGATTTTCCTTGGACCTGCTTGACAGGGCAGCAGCGACAAGATGGCCAAAGCAGTCGCTCGGATTCTTGCAATAGGCCTGCAAAGTAGAAACAAGATCAATCTCGATACGTGGAGTTTCCAACTCCTCCTCTTCTTCCTCCTCGTCAGGTAGATCATCAAGAGTAAGATGGGTAATGTGGTTAAGGGCGTCAAAAGGCTCAGTCAAGCCGTTGGTGTGCACAACCTGCAGCAAAGACGCGTCCTGCGAGGGATTCCCATTCCCCACTGGCGGCTCTAACATCCTCTCCAGGAGATGACCAGCACTAACAGCAGCATTTAGAAGGCCCCTCACTGCCTTATTTTGTATGGTGCCCCAGAGCCTCGTCTGCTGCGCATCGCCTTCCTGTGCGTTACGTGATGTGTCTTGATGCTCTTCTTGAGGACCAAACGGATCGTTGGGTGCGACGCTCAAACCCACCGCCGACCGAGCAGTGACAAATGCTGAGCTCTCCGCTGTTAACATCCTAGAATCGTCGTCCGAATCGCGCGGCGAGCCTCCTAAAAGGCACACTGGCTTTACCGATATATCCGAGGAGCTGTGAATAGACAAATCATCGGACATGTTCTAACATAAAACAAGCAAATCCAAAAAAAAAAAAAAAAAAAGACGCCTACACTCAAACACTACACCTCTTCTTCTTTAAACCTTCTCTTTAGCCTTCCTCCGCAAGCGGCCCCACGCAGCTATCGGTGCCGTGAGTTAGGCGTCAATTCATAACAAAAAGCCGTTCCAAGAAGACACGACGCAGAAAAAAAAAAAAAGGCAGATAAGCATGAGATAAAGCACAAAGAAACAAAAAAGAAAGAGTGGAAGTGGAGGGATCAGGGCCAAAGAATCATCTGCAGTGCATCCACGGATCTTCTTACAATACGGAAGGAAGAATTACCCCATCCCACCACCATCACTACCACAGTTAGTAAGCACCTCGTCCCATTTTTCTTTTCGTTTAATTTTTCAACTCATTGCCCACTTTTTTTTCCCCCTTTCCCATTCGTGTTGTTTGGTTCGGTTGGATCTTTTTCTTTCCTCACTCCTTCTTTTCGCCTGAAAGCTATATATCACTGTTTCGTTTTAATCAGCACAACACAACTGGCAGTTTTTAAATTTTAAATCCTTTCCTTCCATTCTTCCCATTCCCTGTACGCGTGATGCATACATAGATGCGTATGTAGGTGTTTTTCAGCGTACACTACCTCTGCCTTCAGTGCTTTCATTTAGTTTTTGTTGTTGCTGTTTTTTCGAAGGCTTCTTCCGAAAGCCAAATGTGCCTACTTTGTCCAGTGGCGCGTCTTACTTACTTGGAGGCCCCGGACTTCGAGAACAGGGAAGACAGCGAGGCCTCTTGGTGCAGATTGTCGATCGCCCGCCCAAGCAACGGTGCTATTGTGAGGACCGTCAGCTTGCTGCACTTTTGGGAGTTGATGTTCTGCGCAATAGAGTCCGACACAACAAGTTCACTCAATGCCTCGCAGTTGTTGATGCGCTCGCACGCCGGATCCGTCAGGATGCCGTGGCTGGAGCAAGCCACCAGGCGTACCGCCCCCATCTCTTTCAGCAGGTTACACGCCTTACAGAGTGTGCCTGCCGTGTCCACCATGTCGTCTACGATGATGCAAATATACCCGTCGACATTACCAACGGTTTGCATGGAGTCAACCTTGCCAGCCTCTACACGTCGCTTAAGGATCGTCACGATGTGGCTGGCACCAATGCGATCAGCCAAGACATTAGCACGTTCCACGCCTCCCGCATCAGGTGACACCACAACGGTCCTCTCCTTGTCAAACCATGGTTGCCTCATTATGTAAGTCGCAAATTCAGGAAACATGAGGAGATTATCAACCGGCATAT